TCTACTTTTCCGGCTACCTTATTATCTATTTATAGTGATTATCAGTAATCCTATACAAGCTACCATAGCAGTACAAAAGCAGCTTCATCATTTGAGTGGAAAGTACATCTAAGTACTTGCTGCAAACTGTTAATTGAAAGTTACCTGTTTGCGCAATAGAACTAAATTATCCGGTAAAATACTTTTATCCAAGAGCTAATAAGTTTTAGATAATGAACGATTTCTTAGTGAACTGTTCTTAGTTCTTTAAAGTCATTATAATTCTTGATATCTTATACTGAAGTGACAGTTCTTATTCTCCCACTTTTCCTACCCCTTCTCCATACTTTTTCAAACCTTTGCTGATTTACCGGCATTTGGGATGCAACCTCAAATTTTAGCGGCAAATTGCAGACAAGACTTTTTTCAAATTGCCGCGCATGGCATACTGCCAGTTTTTCGTAGTTTTTATGGACAGTTTAGGGATATAACCGACGACTATCGTTCCATCCCTCAAAAATTGTCACCTAACCAGATTTGTTCATTACCAGTTAAGTTTCAAGATATTTAGGAGTCCTTTCTAGAATATATGTGGACACAAGTTTAAGTCTGTAGATTGCGTTTTTAAAATTTGCCTCACTTTGAAGGAAACAGATTCCTCGGTCGCATTTTTCTTGCCACTTTTCCTGTTTTGGATTTTTTATATAACATTTACGCCTCGATCTTTTACCGGTGGAGAACAATTAACAAAATTCTAATATTCATTTTTCTGCCTTAGTGTAACAATTAGAGTTTTTCTTTTGCGGGTTGTAGTTTTTTTTTTTTTCTGTTGAAGTTTGTTGAAGTATATAGAACCAGGTCTTAATTTGCGTAGATGGATTAACAGGATGATTAATAAGAATTTTAAGTGGAATCTGTTGGCAGTCTTCATTTTTAACGGCTGACATATGTATATCTGAAATCAGGACATATCGCAGCTCTTTTCCATCGACTTTTAAAAGCATTATAAAATTTGCGTTAAAAAAAAGTGTTGGCGAGAAAGTAGAAGAGTTATTATAATCTGTCTTTTTTACTCTTCAATAATTTCTTCTGTCAGGTTATCTGAGAATTCATAGACCGTATTATATTCAACAGATAGGCACAAATTTTTTTTGGTAAAAGACTTAACCTACTAATTACGTGCTGTTCCCTCCTATAAATGAGTAAACGCAAGTTCTTCTGTCCTAAATTGCTCATTTTTTCCACCTAATACTTGGGTTTCCTTTAAACTTTTAATCATAGAATTTTCCCTTGAACTTGCTAAACAGAAGAGGTGACTGTAGTAGCTCACCTCGAAAGAAGCCGACATTTTTGTGGAAGTGAAAAAAGTCAACAAACTTTAATTGGATAGGACGGACTTCGGAAATTTGTAATTTTTTATTCCATACAAACAGAATTGAACACTTCTCAGTTTTTGTGTTGTTTAAAAATTTAATTTTTTGTTGGAAATCGTATAAAAGTTCCAAAATTTTTATTTCATGTGGACTGTAAAAATACTGAGGCGTTCACTTTATGAAAGAATTGTTTTATGCAGAACCTTTTTTTCTTACATGAAAGCAAAATTAAGTTTAAGATGATATTGGGAAGATGACTTATGCAAAGAACGTTTAGGTAAGACGTTTTAGGAGGACACCAGTTTTGTGTACTTAGTAACACAGAGTTTGTTTCGTTTGATTCCACATATTAAATTGAAATTAGTACGTTGTTGAATTACAAAATGAGAAACCGCTTTTGGTTTCATAACTGGAAATTTTTAAATGGAGAGACTTGAAGGTTTCGTCACTACTTCTTTCTCGCGTAATATTATTTTTGGTACTTTTCCTAATGCTGTCAGCTGACTATGGTGCATTGTTTTTTGTACGGTATTTTAGTGAGGAAGGCTTGAGCTGTTGCCTTGTCATGGCAAGTCCGCGCAGTAATTGAGGTTTTTATACATTGTTTCCTGTGAACCCATTTGTTTCACGCATTTTAAAATTTACTTTAAAGCTTGTTCAAGTTTTTCAACAAACTTTTTTTTTTCGGTAAAGTGTGTATTTCTTTTTTTTTTCATCCTCTTCTTTTGTGTACATCACCTTACTTTTTTATGCCTAGATGATTGAAATAACTGTGAATGACCGACTGGGGAAGAAAGTTCGGATTAAGTGTAACCCAACCGACACTATTGGGGACCTAAAGAAGCTCATTGCCGCTCAGACTGGTACCAGGTAAAGTAACTCGTTCTCGCTTTACAAAAAGACTTAATTCTATTCTATGATAGCCCTTAAGCTTTACTTTATACTGAATCAGACCTAATGTCAAATTTCAGGCCTGAAAAAATTGTGCTTAAGAAGTGGTATAACATTTACAAGGACGAAATAACGCTTTTGGACTATGAAATACACGACGGCTTTAATTTTGAACTATACTATAAATGAACATCTGCGGCGGGTACTACTGTACAAAGGGACCTTATTCACTCTTTGTTACAATTTACTGTACATAAAACTAAATTTACACCTCGATCAGGCACATGTCTTTCTGGTTTTCAGTCACATTGTGAAAACTTTAATTAGTACTGGCCAGCTATAAAATTTGCTTCAAATGTGCACAGCCAAACAAAAAAAAAAAAAAAAA